TTTTTTTTGTGTTTCTAATTATTACATGATACAAATGATAATACATGCCAAATATAATGCTAAAATTTTAAGGGGCAGTATCAAACAAATTACGATTGAATTTCTCTTTCCTTTTTTTTCTTATTGCAGACAAAATGCATTAATTCTCACGCATACATGTAACGTATGATGCAATAATAGTAGAGTTCATCTATGTAGAAACGATAGTGAAGGCAAGACTCTCGCTTCTTTCTCTCGTCTTCTTCTTTTTTTTTTCTAATGAATAATTTAATCCAACGATGCGCAAGCTCTTTTTCTCTCTGTCTTCTTCTGTATGCTCCACATTTACTATGTAAATAGCAAAAACAAAGCAGCGGAATACCCGCAAGGAACAAAGCCGAGATCTTTCTTTCTCTCTTTCCCTCTTTCTAAACGTTAAGAGTGTGAGAGCGACAACGACGACGGAACTCGATGCCGTTGCGTTATGATTATTCTCGAATATGTGTAAAAGAAAAAATTCTATCGTTCGTTTGTATATAGTAAGAAAAAAAAAATAAGTATCTAAAGAAAAACTAAGTCAATGTTTGCGAACAATTAGTATGGAGACAAATCACAATCATATGGATGATAGATGATGTTCTTAAACAAATACAATAAAAAATGAACAAAATTAATTCTAAAGTCAAAGTAAATGTCATCTTTCGATGTTCTACAAAAAAAGAAAGAGAGCTTATATGAATATTTCATTTAAATTAACCTATTGTCACAAATAATTATAGTGGAAAAATAAAACGTCGATAATGGTTATATAACGGAACAAGAAAGAATAAGTGTTCTTATTCATTTTCTAATAAAATTCATCGTACGTTTTTTTTTTCATAGTTGCTATGTTGTACTACTCCACCCTGAGCGACAATAATGATGATTATTCATTTTCTTTTTGCTTCTGAATAAGAGTGAGTAAGGCCTTCTCTGTTGAACATCATTCATGACATGTCACCGGTCTTTCGCTCTCTGTCTCTCCGTCTCTCTCTCTCCTTTCCTATCGTTCGATGACGTGGTAGTGCACGGATGCATGCGCTCACGCTCGAGAGAAAACAACGTCTCCTGGGAATTAAAAATGTGTATGTAACAGGCAGACTCTGTACTAAATCAATCGTAGAACCAAAATAACACTGTTTATTGAAGTGATAACTATGTATATGTAGTACATAGCAAATTGAATTACAAATCAAACTTTAAAATGAACATCAATTGTTACATGATATTCTAGTAGTCACACATTTTATTTTAATTAACATAAAATTAATATTTATTGGATATTTTGTTTTATCTTAATGCTATTGCCGAAAACCTTTTAGAGAATTGACAGGTAATTCATTTATCTATTGGTCACTATGATATGTCATGCCTCATATGCCCTGAATCCAATCTGAGGCGTGTCTATGTATGTATAGTGTGTTAAATTTAATTGATGAAGACGACGACGAAGACGACGGAACTTTTCGTCGTAGCGCATTCATTTCATGGCATGCACGCTAGATGTCAAAATTAGACACTGAATGAAGCGTATAGCTTCCGTGTTTCATATATTTTTTCTTCTTTTTCTTCTTCTTCTTCTTCTTTTTCTCCTTCACATAGCATACGTTTTTGCTTCATGTAAGCAGCGAAAGCTCATCATTTCTTTTGACAAGAAGAATTTGATTAGAGAATAAGAAAGGAAGATTCAAGGACAATGTATCCTTTTTGCATTGGCAAGATAAACCATGAAAAGCTGTGCTATAGGCTATATGTAAGCACAAGGCAATTGTGTTTTGTAAGAAAGCAAAGTGACGGTAAACAAAAAATTCTTTTTACGCTCAACAAATCCAAGGATGTTCATCAATCGCACACATACAAAAAATGGATAATTACATCCGGTTTTTCTCTCATCTGCCGAGAGAAAAAAAAATGAAGTGAAAAGAGAATAAATGCAAACTTGTTCCGATTCTACGAATCATTTTAACGAACGTTAGCTATCGACGACATGATGACAGCAATAACTACAAAATCAACGATTTTCAAGCTCTCTTTTTGACATTTTGTCAATTGGCCTGGAGCCAAATTACGGCTTAGCATATTTTTTTCCTCTTCTCGTTCGGTCTTTATTTCTTTGAGTACACAATATGTATTTTGAATAATCAATAAATATAGAATTACCATAAATATAATAAGAAGTCTACTACTAATTGATTTTGATTCTGCAATCATGAAGAAATTCATTAATTTTTGAATGCATAAAATTATTCCGAGATGAACAAATGCATATATATACATATATATATATAGAGAGAGAGAGATATGATAAGATACGAAAGCTGTAGCATCTATAATAAATCATTGTAACAAGAAGAGAGAAAAAAAAGTATAGTGCATGTCTAGATATGATTAGACCATCTTGTGTGTGTGTCGAATAATCATTATTAAGAATGTATAACACAAAAGTTTTTCATAAAGACCTAATGCAATCAGTGTAACATGTAAACCATAGTTAAGTTGACGGTCATTAATATTTAGTATAAAATTTGAATTATTATTATTATTATTATTCATTTGTAATGCAAGAGCAAATATGGAAATAAAAATTAAAATAGTTGATGCTAATCCAGTAAGAATATGAATACTAGCAACAAGAAGAAAAAATCGATGATGACGATAGATAATAGTAAAAAAAGCAAATAAACCAGCAATAAATACTAATGTACCAGTCCATAAACCATGACCTGTTGTTGAAAGTGTAAATTGAAAAAGAACTATAAGAATACCAATAGTAAGTATCAATAAACCAATAATTAATTCATTGACAGCAAGAACTTTTGTCCAACATGTATTCCAATTGTTTTTTAAATGTTCATTGATTAATAATTCAGCTTTATAGAATGAACGATGAGGATAACAAGGGAATATTAAATGATCATCATTTTTTGTACGACTATCTTCCGATGGTTCTACAAACCATATCGATGGAATAGGAGTTGATTCAGTTAACATTATATATATTTTAGTATGTAGTACCCATCTGGTAAAATTTTATACTTTCAAACAAAGAAACGGCATTGTACCTTCATTTTTTCAATTAGTTTGTTCTTTAGATATATATATATATCACCTTTCTAGTCTAATAAAGAACATACATATGTTATCTTTTGTAACTTAGTAAAAGACATAAAAAATTCTCTTTTTTTTTTATTTATATTACTTCAAACAATCATATATGAATAGATAGAAAAATAGAAGGGCATAACACATAATAAAAACCAATAAAAGAAGTTAGTTCATTGAAGTATCATCCGCTTCTTTTCCTTATTAATGTAAGCAATTGGCGCGAAATTGTCTGATGTAACGATCATTTTAGCTAGAAAATAAATTATTCTTGTTGTTACTTCATCATCATCCCTATTTCTTGAATAATGACGATCATTATTAATTAAAAAAGAAAAAAAAAAAGAATCTTTCTTCTCTTCAATGACAACATCAACAATTATCAATTTACAAATAAATAATAATAATCAATCTAAAATTCAAGGTGATAAACAAGATTGTTTGAATAAAATACCATCGTCAATGATTGCTCAGATTGAATTTCCAAATCAACAACCACAACAACAATCTAATGATGATAAATTACTATTAAAAAATGCTTGGGGTACATATTTTTATAAGGCTGATAAACAACGTGATTGGAAACAGAATGTCATCTATATAACATCAATCAATTATGTTGAAGATTTTTGGTCATTTTATACACATACATATGGTCTAAGAGACCTTTCAAATGGATCTGATTATATGCTTTTTAAAGTAATATTAGATAGAGAAAAAAAAAGAAACCGATGTATCTAATAAATGTATCTCTTTTGGGTATTTATTTAGTCTGGTTGTCTTCCAATGTAAGTAATTTTCATAATTCTTGTTAAATTATTTTCATCTAAAAGAAGAAAAGGTGGGAAGATGTATCATCACGTGGCGGTGGTAAATGGGTTATAACAATTGATCCAAAACGACGTAAACATGATCTAGATAGCTATTGGCTTCATCTAGTAAGAATAAAATTCGTAAAAAAAAGCATTTCTTAAAATGTCAAAACTATCAAATTATTCATAATGATGAGTAGCATCTCTCTAAAGTAGTATTTCATAAGAGATAAATATATATATATTGATTAATCGATAATCTCTTGTGAGCACTTGTATATAGAGATAAACTATTAGTATATCTATATAATCTTCAGATGTTATTACTTATTGGTGATCTATTTGGTACTGATCTAAGTATATATATCAATGGTGCTGTTGTTTCATTACGTGTCAAAGGTGATCGATTAGCTTTATGGTTAAAAAAGATTGATGATCTAAATTTAATTAAAACAATTGGAATAAAATTAAAAGATCTATTAAATATTTCATCGAATAATCAAATTATTTATGAAGTAAGAAAAGCAAAATCATATATTTGTTTCTTATTTATTTATTCAAGTACCATGAACCAAAATTTGATGAATATAATAATGAAATTCGTCTTATTATTTAAGTTGATAGCAATCAAATTGTTTTTCTTCTTCTTGGTTACTTTTTTTTTTTGTTTATTTATCATCTCATGATTAACACTTGTTTTTTTTTTCTCCTGTCAAATCATCATCATAACAACTGTTCGGAAATAAACATCTCAAAATAAAAAACAAAAAAACAGGATATATTTTTTTTTTTCTTCTTTAACTAACTCTTTTCTGCTTCTTTTTTTTGCTCAACTAAACAATAAGTGTTTAAATAAACAAAAACAAATATAACGGACACAAAATGTTTCGAGAACAAAAAGAAAAAAAACGAGATAGATCAAAGAATTTTGCCTAATATTTATATCTGTTAACTATTCTTCATACATCGGTCGTTGTGAACCACTACTACTTTCATTATGCATATCAAATTGAATACGAAGATTTGATGGTAAATTCATAATTGATCTCCAACGACGACCTATTTCACGTACAATTGTTCCATTATGTGCTTCAGATAACCAAAGTGCTATTTTATGACCACGTGTACGAATAGCTACAACGCAACCAGTTATATAGCGACTTAATGGTTCAGCATCACTAAAACATAATCATTTGTTCAGATGAATACACACTATTTTTGCTTTATTACGTACGTATCATGAGAGAAACAATCACCAATCATACCAAGTAAAGTTTCTAACCATAGTTCATCAAGTTTATTATCTTGATTTCCACAGGTTAATAACCAACGACCACCATTAGCATTTGCTTTATCCTCTATTGAAATAATATATGAAACAAAATCAAATAAAAAAATAACTACTTACCCCACATAGGACGAACTAAAATTTCGAAAAAACAAATCAATTAATAATATTTTTTAAAAGAGCAACTAGCGTAGATTATTAGAGATCAATTTAGATGTTATTATAGAATTTTAGTAAACTACTAATATCTTCTTACGAAAGTTAAACATAACCATATGCCAGAAGTTCTATATAATTTATGTAAATCTTATATAAAATGTTCCCCAAAAAGATTGAAAACATTCGATCTTTACCTCCTTTTTTAAAAAAATAATAATCAGAATTGGATTTATTCTGTGAAAGACGTGATGGTGAAGCTAAATGATTATATGTTGCCCAAAAGTCTTCCACAAAACTAACATCAATTAAATTAATTAATGATTGTTCCCAACTAAGACGTTTATCTGGTTTAATATACCAAAATGTCCATGTGAATTCTAATGGACTTTTTGGATTAATTGCATCAACTGTTCCATTAGTTGTTTTATCACGTTGATTTGTTATTTGTGCTAATGGTTGTTGTTGTGTATCTGTCATAATCGTTTTCTATGAATAAGAAAATAGAAAATCTTAATAAAACAAAAGTTCAAAATAGTTTCACAAATGTATGTCGAAAAGAGATATATAGAAGTATAGCTATAGGCAGTCTGTGAATTTCATTATGATGATTCATAGAATTGAATCTAGTGATGAAATAATTTTTCAATGGAAAATTCCTAAGAATATATTTCTTATTTTAATATTTAATTTATTTTTTTTATATATTGATAATAATTAAAATCAAGAAGAAATTTAATGGTAAAATAAGGTCGTTACTAAGCAACGTATTTGATCGAAAGATGGCCGATAAACGTGTTGATTTTTTTATTGAATAAAATTACTTTTTAAAATGGCTCATCTTCTTGGAAGTAAAGCATGTATTGATAGTTTACGTGTTGATATTGATGATTTACAAAATGTTATTCATGATATTGTTGGAAAAACAGGTTCAATTAAGTAAGAACAACAAAAAAAGAATAATTATGTAAGTAGAAATTAATTATTAATATAGATGTCATTCATGGAAATTTCCGGATAAAATTGCGACAGATATCGATATGAAAGAACTTCTTCAACGATATCAATATGGAAAAAATGAAGTTGATAATCAAGTTTCTCATATTGTTCTATTTGAAATTATTATTGATCGGTAAATTAAAGAAATAGTTAATTTTTGTATGTTTATTTCGTGATTGTTCTATTAGACTTCTTCTTGTTTTACATGGATCATGGCGTTATTTACATGAAATTCAAACTAATCTTTTACCGAATTCCATCGATTTAGCATCAACTGCTAATCAACAATCAAGTCTTAGTGTTGGTTTAGTTGTTAAAAAATATTGGAATAAATTATTACATTTATCTACCGTGCTCCAACAGCACGAGGTTCGAGGGGGTACACTATGTAATTTCAATAATAATCAATCATTTGTTTTTTGTTTTAGAACGAACGCAAACGACCAATTCAAAATGGAAATAAAACTGCTCCATTACCACGTTCAAAAACAAATTTAAATACTGAAAAACGTTCACAAACAAATGAAACATCTCTCGGTCCATGTCAGTCATGTTTAAAACTTCAACAATGTCTTCGTGATCATGGTGATAGTTTAATAAATTTATGTCATACATATAATTTACCATCATCACTTGCTCAACATCGCTGTTCAACAACAGAAGTATTATCATCAGATGATATTAATCATTGGTCAGATTGTCAAACAAAAGATATTGATCGTTTATCCAAACATCTTCAATATTTAAATAATACATTGAATAAAACAAAAAGTGATTTACAATTAAATGAAAATCGTTGTAAAAAACAAGATGAAACAAATCAACGTTTACAACAATTAATAAATGATGATAGACAATCGAAAAAAGTTTTACAAGAATTACATGATAAAAAAGTAAATGATTTAAAAAAAGATTCAGAACAACAGGAACAAACACTTAGTGAACAAATTAAATCATTAACAAATCAAAAAATTAAAATTGAAGAACAATTAAAAGAAGTTAATAATTTATGTGCATCTAGAGGAGAACAAATTGAAAAACTAGGTATTTAATCATGATAACTATTTATAGACAGTTTATTCACGCTAAAGAAATTTGAAGCTAAAATATAGTGTTATTCCTATGAGAAGAAAATATGAAGCATGATCACACTGCATTAACTATAAATATATATATTCTAAATTTAGAATCATCCAAAAATGAATTAAGAAGTCTTATTCAAGACCGTTTTAAATCTGATGATGTTATTAAAACATTGGAACAAGATCGTATACGCTTACAAACCGAACTTGATTTAGTTAAACGTGATCTTGAAGAACGTAATCGTGATTTACAAAAAGAACGAACACGTATTGAAAATATGATTCGACAAGAACAAGTAATATCTTATTTTCTACCTATATATATACATTTATATTTTTTATGTTTAGAATTATCAATCGAAACAAAAAGCACTTACGACATCATATGAAGAATTAACACAAGAATGTGAATTACTCAAGTAAAGAAAAAAAAATTATTTTATCTTAAAAAATGCTATTCCTTGTCTACTTACATTAGAAAACAAGTCACTGAACTAGAAATATCTCGTGATGAAGTTGAAAAGAATCTTGAAACAGTTCAAAAACAAAATCGATCATCTGCAGATACACATAAAGTTCAGTCACTTATGGAAACTAATAATCATTTATTACAAGAAATTAGTATACTGAAATCAAATCTTGAACAATTAGATCAACAACTTCAACAAATGGAAGAACGTGAACAAATGTTATTACAATATCCAGATCTTAATGGACCTATCGATCATGGATCAAGTAAATTTCAGAAGTTTTATATGATATTTATAGTTAATTCTATTCTATTTTAGCAACAAATAATATAGTAATTGATATGCAAAATCAAATGCGTACAAATGAAATTCGTGTTGATTTATTACGAAAACAGAATGAATCATTAAAAAGTTCATTAGAAAAACTGTTATCTATGCACAGTAATAATAATAATACTCCATCATTGATAACAGAAGAACGTTATGAAGAATTAAGAAGTCAATCAAGACAAGAACAACCACATCGAAAATACTCATATGAAAATGAAATTGCCGCACCGGTACTAGTTTTTCTTAGAGATGACAATTTATTTCGATTTCTATATATAGAAAGCAAAGCCAACTCCATTATGGTTACTAAATAATGAACTTCCTGAACAACAACAAGCTTTTACAGAAACAAGGTAAGATTCTAATTATTTGGTAGAATTTTTTTTAAAGTTCTCTTGTAATTTTTAGATCTGTTACAACTGCCACTTACATTCCACGCTTTAGTGAAAATGATTATGTAGCAAATGGATGGATTAAATCTGATCCAGATGTTATTCTAATACCACAACCGAATGTCAATATTGATATTTCACCCAAATCACATGATCGATCATGGACTACAAGTTCTACTCGTACTCAAACAACGTATAAATCAAAATTTTTATTTTGTTTTTAGAATTATATGACTTTTATTTTGTTATTCAGAGATTTAATTATCACATCAGAATCACGTCCACCAACTGTTGCACATTCTTCTCGAAGCTCCCATAATGGTCGAACATCAACTATTCCTCCAGCATCCGATTATGAAATGATAATTGGTATGTTACGTTTATTAATTTAATTCTCATTCATAATTTTTCTTTCATGTAGGCAAAGGTCGAACAACAAATCGTCCAACATCTGCAACTAAAAATCGTTTTTCTGCAAACGACAGCGCTCGTCGAGATACTTCATTACCCAAAAGTTCACGAACTACAGCACCTGCTACGACAAAAAGATCTGCAACAAGTACTGCTATACATCAATGTGCAACTTGTAATAAATCATATGATGACAAACGAAATTATGATATACATAAATTATATTGTAGGACTTAAAGTCCATAATCAGATTTCTTTGTGTTGTTTTGAAAATAAATAAAAAAGAAGATGTGTTTGTTATAGATAACGTACAGGAAATGATTTCGAGAGCGAAGAGCTACAAAATAGTACTTTAAATGTAAGGTGAATATATTAAGATCGAACGAGGGCTGCACCATTTCCCTGCTACACAGGGAAACTGTTCCACTTCCCAGCAGAGATACATCAACCCTAGAAAATCAAGAAGAAATCCTTTTTTCAATGTCAAACTTCCCTTACTGTCAAATAAACAATTTACTCTATATCGATTTTTCCTAGTAGAAATGGTTTACATATCAGGTGAAGTGCTTCATCCATTTCACCATAAATAAGAAGAAACAGAAAATACCTCTTGTTGAACTATTTTCCTTTGAAGGAAAAATCATTTCTCTCCAAATTCAAGTGTTTCTGCAAAATCATACAACAGTTTCTATGCATATATATATATATATATTTAACACTTTCTATACATTTCTCCTTGATACATATCACTTTATTTGGAATGAAATATTCCTCCATAAAAGGGAACTACTTCCCAAACTACTACTGTCCACTACTAAAAGAATGAGTTTCTTGATCGATTTCAAGTGCTTGTTCGGGCAATGAATCTGTTTTCGAGTACACTCCCATGTTCTTAGACGCCAAAGCTACGTTGTTGTATGATATAGTCAAATTGTGATGATTTAAAGGAAGAGTTTTCTCTCGAATTACAAGTGCTTTTTCGTAAAATAAGAGTGCTTTCGAATACTCTTCCATGTTCTTATACACATCACCAATGTTGTTGTATAAAGTAGCCAAATAAGGATGATGTAAAGAAAGAGTTTTTTGATAAATGTCAAGTGCCTGTTCGAACAATGAAACTGCTTTCGAATACTCTCCCACATTCTTATACACCAAAGCGATGTTGTTATATGAATAAGCCAGATCAGGATGATCTAAATGAAGAGTTTGCTGATAAATTTCAAGTGCCTGTTCGAACAATAATAGTGCTTTCGGGTATTCCCTCATGTTGTTATACACCAAACCAATGCTGCTGTATGTAGTAGCCAAATCAGGATGATTTGAAGGAAAAGACTTTTGTCGAATTTCAAGTGCCTGTTCGAACAATGAAAGTGCTTTTGAGTACTCTCCCGTGTTCGTATACACTGCAGCAATGTTGTTGTATGCAGTAGCCAAATCAGGATGATTTGAAGGAAGAGTTTTTTGATAAATTTCAAGTGCTTGTTCAAATAACGAAACTGCTTTCGAATACTCTCCCATGTTGGTATACGCCAAAGCAATGTTATTGTATGAAGTTCCCAAATCATGATGATTTGAAGAAAGAGTTTTCTCCCGAATTTCAAGTGCTTGTTGGAATAATGAAACTGCTTTCGAGTATTCCCCCATGTTGTTATACACCAGACCAATGTTGTTGTATGTAGTAGCCAAATTAGGATGATTTGAAGAAAGAGTTTTTTCATTAATTTCGATTGCTTTTTCGTAACATGAAAGTGCTTTTGAGTACCCCCCCATGTCGTTATACACCGAAGCAATATTGTTGTATGTAGTAGCCAAATCAGGATGATTTGAAGAAAAAGTTTTTTGGTAAATTTCAAGTGCTTGTTCGAATAACGAAACTGCTTTCGAGTAATCTCCCATGTTGTTATACACCGCAGCGATGTTGTTGTATGAAGTAGCCATGTGTGGATGATTTGAAGGCAGACTTTTATGTCGAATTTCAAATGCTTTTTCGTAAAATGAAAGTGCTTTTGAATGCTCTCCCATGTCGTTATACACCGAAGCGATGTTGTTGTATGAAGTTGCTAAAGAAGGATGATTTGAAGAAAGACGTTTTTCATCAATTTCAAGTACTTGTTCGAACAGTGAGACTGCTTTCGAGTACTCTCCCATGTTCTTATATACCAAAGCGATGTTGTTGTAAGGAGTAGTCAAATGAGGATGATTTGAAGGAAGACTTTTTTGATAAACTTCAAGTGCTTGTTCGAACAATAATAGTGCTTTCGAGTACTCTCCCATGTCGTTATACATCGAAGCGATGTTGTTGTATGAAGTAGCCAATAAAGGATAATGTGAAGGAAGAGTTTTTTGATAAATTTCAAGTGCTTTTTCGTAAAATGAAAGTGCTTTCGAGTAATCTGCCATCTGGCTATGAACATTACCAATGCTGTTGTATGAAGAAGCCAAATCAGGATGATTCGAAGGTAGAATATTTTCCGAAATTTCAAGCGCTTGTTCGTAATACGAAATAGCCTTTTTATAGTCACCCTGATTCGAATGAACAGATCCTAGCTGATGATAATAATGCGCTTTTTCACCCTCATCAGATGTCTGTACAAGTAGTACATTACAAAGTTCTTCAGCTTTATTAAATTGACCAATTTTTAGCAATAAATTGCCCAGTCTTCGCCATCCAGTACTACCAATAGCTTCTTCTCGTATTCGATTAGTAAGTAATCGTAGTTGTTGATCATCATCCGATGTTAATTGTAATTCAACTTGATAAAGTTGATTGTTATTGTCCATTTGCTTAATTACACCCACTCGAAAGACAGTGTGCATTGAGAAGAGCATTTCATCTTCCTCGTTATAATAACTCACACCCTTGATGAAGGCAAATGGTACTGAGTTAACACAAGGATCAACGGAGATTATGTATAGAATACCCACCATGTTTTCGTTTTCTAATGCACCTTGAGCAAAACCGAGGGAGATATCTTTATCTTTACTTGTGGACAAGAAATTATTAAATGATATTAATCCACCTTTCGTTTTCTCAAGTTTTTCGAAGTCTGATTTCATGAAGCCTTGTCCACGATAAACTATAAAAATTTCTGTACCATAAGTATTGGCCTGTTCCTCGTGGAGTTGTTGAATTTGTTGATGTAGATGAGATATAAAAAAACCCATAGTAATAATTATATCGGCGTCTAATGTTCGAAGGCCATGATTGAGCATAGAATATATATTGGATGGGAAAGTATACCACCAAATAGATAATTGGGCTTGGTATTCTTTCTCAAAACGGTCAATATTTCTTGTTGACACACAGTTATTATGTCGACAGTAAGTAATAAATTCTGTGATGGCCTGTTCACTATGTTCCATATGAAGGATGATATCCTTGAATATCTGAGTATACATAAATGTTGGCTCCAACTCATTTAAATTACCAATTGACTTCATGTCATCCATTGTAACAAAACTCACAGCGATCGAATCTTGACTGCATTGCTTGATGCCTAGTTGTAATACTTGGCATAAACCACTGGTGTTAATATGAATGCTCTTGATTTTGCTCCATTCTTTTGTCCATTCTTTGTGTACAGATACAGTGTTACTGAGAATATAAACACTATCTAGCTGAGGAATATCATTGATGAGAGGCATTATTTGTTGAGCCAAAGTATTCCCAACAATGAGAAAAAATTTGATATCTTGAGTATTACTAAGAAAATCAATACATTCGTCTCGCTGTTGAAAGATATTGACATCATCGGTAATAGTTCGTATTTGTATCAAAGTATGTTCGTAATCTTTGCTTGTTTCGTCCATATTCTCATCTAACCAGATGAGTAAATAATTTTGTAGCATACACCTCCTTAGTTCACTACTATTGGATATTGTCACCGTTTCAGACGATTCAATATGCTTCGTTTCATGCATTGCTTCCATTTTGTATGTGATTTGATAATAAAACGGTAGTTGTTTGATTCTTTTATTAGAATAACTAAGGGTGAAGAAGACGAATAAACTCTATTCTTTGTACGAGAATGGAATCTCTTAATCTGAAAAGTTTATGACACAATTATTTTACTTCATACACTTATATAGAGTAATTATCATAAAATTTGATTCTATGTCTCATTTGACGAACACTTAGAGCAAGATAAGTACTAAGGACAATAAGAAGTTCCTTCTTTTTGATTTTTCCCGAAGGTAAGAAATAATACTTTGACAAATAAGCAAATGTGTTTGTCTTGTGAACAGTGTACGTGAAAAACCTCGTGCAATTTTTATATGTTCTTTAATCTTGTATTGAGACTATATAACATTTGTTTAATTTGGTTGTATGTCTATATACTCTTGTGTAAAACTCTAGATATATAAATGATTATATGGCTTCGATCTTCTTACATCACGTTAGTCGAACAAGTGACTAAATAAGTACTGTTGGATGGTGAAATATTAGACAATTTGAAATAAACATTCTATCATATATTGCTTGATGTAATAGCCGAATGATGAAGAAACTATTTTATTCAGAAAGTATATAAAACATATAAGTCACACAAATGATAATGAAAAAAATTTAATGATGATGATATTGGGAGAAAAGAGAAAAAATACGTAATAACAAGAAAAGTGTAATTAGCACATCAATATATATCAATCAACCGTAACCATAAGTGAAAGAAAAACATGGAAGTGAATCAAAAGAATGACTAATAATATAAGTAAAAGTGTAGCGTCATCAAGTAGCATCTATTGATATTGACAATATACAATTTGATAAATTGGAAAAAGTTTTGAATATACCATATAAGAGAGACCAATTTTCAGTCATATTAATAGAAGTCGTCATAAAAGACTTTAAAATAATTCTTTTGTCATTGAAACATTTCGGATGTAGTGAAAAAGCTTCCAGTTTTGTTAAACTTTGTAGAACTTTTTTTACTAATCATTTTGGTACAAATAGAGGGTCTGCAAAATTCTTACCCAGCAGACTTCAGAATTTTGTATACTTATACTCTATCAACCAGTCCATCAATTACGAGGAAATAAAATAATGCTAAGAATTCTATTTCTTCGGCAGAATTTTAAATAAGTTACAAAATTCCGAATCCTGCTGATTGAATCATGCATTGCGAGACTTTTAATAACGGAACATCAAAACACTACAGAATCTAAAGTGAAAATTTTCGCCAACATTGTTTCTTCCATATTAATATTGATTCTTTATTTCGATGAGATCGATTCGAATACATAATTTAGCTGAAACATAAGTAGTTATGAAAAGTTTGAATTTGTTGTTTATTTTTAGATTCATCCAGAAGGTAAATTTGTTATTGATCTCAATAAAAAATATTGATATGGTTAAAGTAACACCAAGTTGTCGTGTTGCATTAAAAAATGATAGCTATACAGTACATAAAATTTTACCAAATAACGTAATAAATAGAAAATGTATTTTATTTATTATTATTAAATATTTATATGATTTAAGGTTGATCCATTAGTTAGTTTAATGATGGTAGAAAAAGTTCCCGATTCTACCTATGAAATGGTTGGTGGTCTTGATAAATAAATAAAAGAAGTTATTGAATTACCACTTAGACATAATCAGTCAACTGAAAGCAAGACGTCTTGTTTAGAATATGTTATTCTTATAAAATTATCAAATTATAATTCAGAGTGTTTTACTTTATAATCCACCGGGTACTGGTAAAACTCTTTTAGTTCGAACAGTTGCACAGTATATTGAATGTACATTTATTCATGTATCGGGCTCGGAATTAGTTCAGAAATTTATTGATGAAAGTTCACGAATGATTCGTGAATTATTTTTTATGGCTCGGTACGAAACGAAAAAGAATTTTTTTTTTTTTTTATTTTTACAATCAATCTTTCGTAAATTTAGTAAACATGCACCATTAATTATATTTATGGATGAAATTGATTCAACACGTGTTGAAGGTAGTTCAGATAGTGATAGTGAAGTGCAACGAACAATGTTAGAATTACTTAATCAACTAGATGTTTTTGAACTAAAACAAAATATAAAGTAAAATAAATGAAATTTATATTTTGATTTCTCTATGTTTTGTTCATTGAAGAGTTGAAAAATTCATTCACGTAAAATTAATTTAACACGTGGCAGTAATCTAATAAAAACAGCAAGAAATTCTATGTATTCGCTTTTTTTAGGGTGTTTGTACTGAAGTAGGGATGTATACACTTTGAGAACGACGTGTTCATGTAACATAAGAAGATTTTGAATGAGCTGTTGTAAAGATATAAATATTCAAAGATAGAAATAAATTATTATTAATACTTAAACGGTTGATTTATTATTGAGAAAAATAGAATAATAGTAGTTATTCTAATTTTTAGTTTTCTATTATTTTATCGTAAACTATACTCAGTATTTTTATGTCTACGTACATTTCCATCTATTAAAAACCATGGTGGATAATAATATTCACGTCTTGAACATCCTGATGGATAAATTTTATCATGTATTACTTCTCCACCAGCAAGATAACCTGTCCACCAATCATATGTTCCACCAGTTATAACTGAATGTTGACAAAGTGAAAGAATTACTAAATCATCACCAGTGGAATATGTTTCAGGTGTAAGAAAAATATTTGATTGATTACGAAAGAGCTTTTCACAATAAGGTTTATCATCACTAGTAACTATAAAATGAGCATTCGGATAGCGTGCAGTATAATATTTAACAGCATCGAATAGATAAGCATCACTTGAAGAAAAACGTAAATCTATAAAATCTGAACGACGTACATGAATTCCAATCCATGTCGTCGAATTTAATTGAGATAGTTGCTTTTTGAAAGATTGATGATTTTCTAATAAAAATTGAGGTCTATAACCTCGTTGTTGTTGATAAAATTCAATGAAAAAAGTTGAAACATTCTTAAGTATCAATTGCGATGCAACAAAAATACGTTGTCGGAGTTCTTCATCATATTTAGCAAAATGTAGATATGATAGCCAATATCCTCTTAGTTCAAATATCGTTCCTGATGAAATTGCATTCGGACGAGTTAATGTAGTAATATAACCACAATCAACGCCCTTACTAATTCTACTCATTGGTTTTGAACTGTTACTAGTAAGTGAATTAAATGTCGATGACGAGATAAGTAATGGGGACAGATCCAGAATAAATACTGATTTCAATTGATTGATCATTTTTAATTCTATATATAAATGACAAGAATGAAGACGAGCAAGACCATAAGCACTTGCAACTAGAAACATTCGATTACCCAAACGACCAGATGTATCTGGAATATAAACGATACATCCAATCTTTTGTTCTGGTGAAATATTTTGATTTTTTGAAATAATAACATTAATTGATGGTACAAGTTTTATTTTCATAATATAGAAACTAATAAAAATGATTATGATCATAATAACAGAAAGTAATAAAATTGTACTGTATTTTATTGATAAAAAATTACATTGACATGCAAATTTCATCTTAAATTAAAATTCTGAATAATATGATATGTAAATTTGACTAGAAAAAAAATCAAAATCATACAATCTTTTAAAGTTCAAAAAATAGAAAATATGGTTTTTATTTATCTTACAATATTTCTTAAGACTTCTCATAATACCAGAATGAGAAAGCAATAGAAATGAGCCTGACATGGATTATTTTAATATAATACAGCACTATTTTATACATATTTTTATTTGTTGAAAAACCTATCGAATCAAGTGCAACAAATGAAGCAAAGATGTTCTTCAAGTTTTTGATTATCTTATGATTGAACAAAATGCATAGAGAAGTCTGAACATATGTGGATTATGACACGAATTAGTCTCCATTAAAAAATATAGTACCGAGTAAATCTAGTCAATTTCATTTTTATTGTGAAATAGAAAAACTCTAACATTATAATGAACTTTTTCGCATCATATCCAAATATTTTTATGAAAAGTTTTATCAAAACTTCTTCCATAAGAACTTTTCTCGCTAAAAACTATATTCGGGGTACAATCTTTCCGGTATGGTAGCTCAAGTGTCAAGATTTTGAACTAATTAAAACAGTTAAAAGGTGAGATATAACTACTATGCATATAAAATAAATGTTAATCGATTGTATAGTGTGTCGATAAGTATAAGGTCTTTAAAACATATCATCTTTATATAATCTCCTCCTTTTGATATAGCCTCGATCGTTGTATGTTTATATTCGTATTTTCTTCTGTCCTCTTCTCTTCTCTTCTCATGCGTAACGAGTATCCAGGTCGATGAATACGCTCGTAAGCGAGTGTTTACGTTCACGTATCAGCAGCAACGGTGGTTGACACAATCATTATTTTTAACCGTTGCTGACCCTCATTCTGTCTATGAAGTAAAGTCCTGTTTGTGTGTTGTGGAATAAATTAAAACGTTATATCTATTTTCTTCCATCATAAAAAGAATAAAATAATAATATTTTTCTTATATGTAAATCTTAAAATTGAAAGATTTTATGAATAGAAGTACTATGTTGAAAATATTGATATTCTATAAGAATTTAGTTTTACTCATTCGAAATTAATGATATGAGAAGTATATTATTTTTAGTGATCGTGCGCATTAAATTTGTCATTATGAATTACGAAGTGAAATATCAAGATCAAACCCATATCAATCATTTTCTGATAAAACTAAAACAAGAAGATGTCAGGCGCCACTTTCTACAGTTGATCATAAATAAGAAATCAAGATACACGATCTTTTTCACAACACATTGCTACATTCGTTCAATATTTTCAACAAAGGTGATTTTCTAATTTTCCAAACAATAAATATAAGATATATTTTGAAAATAATTAAAATATTAATGACGATAATATATATGTGATTACTAGAATATATCGAAAAAAGTGGAGATACTTAATTTGAAATAAGGATTTATTTTTGAAAAAACAATTAATATTGATAAGAATTTTATACGATAATTCTGGTTTCATTAATATGATTTATACATTGCGAGAATGAAACCGTTTTACACTACATTTTGCATACCAACTCGATTTTTGATGATTTATATTTTAGAACGTGCATAGAGTTCTACCATGTTACTCCAATGGATTAACTCAATCTATCGTTCATCGATTCAAAATGACAATATTCATTGGAATCATTTAGTTAATAAATTAAATGAAGAGAGCTTACTCTCAATTAAACATTATGATCATGCTAAAAAACGTTTTGATGACGCAAAATTTTTTATGCAATGTATGGTATTTAAAAATCAGGTTCATAAACAGAAAAAAGATTTCAAAGATTCTACGACAATGTGTTTAATTAATGAATTACAATATGAAAAATCAACACAAACGATGAACGATAAAAAGTTGTACGTTCCTAATGAATCACAACTAATGGATGACATTACTAGTATGTTTATTGAAATAGTAAAGAGAATTCTTTTCAATTCTTTTTGTAGTTAAACTTGAACAATTTCATTTAAATTGAAATAATGATATAAAGCAGTCTTTATAAACAAGTCTGAAATACATGGGCCATGCCTACAGAATGAACCAATTTGAAGTATTCAAAACTAATATGTTTGATTTTATGCGATAGAAAAAATATGTAATTACAGTACACATTGCGCTGTAAGGGTCAACACATAAACGTGTACAGAAATAAAAACAAAGAATGATATATAGTAACAATAAGATATTGATCAATTGATATTGATATTAATCTTATCAAACCAACATGATCTGTATTATAAATAACGCCAATATAAAAACTTGTGAAGAGTTGATTGAATCAATATTTTTCGTATTCGCATTACAGTATCGAAGTTTTATGTATTTTTCTAAAAAAGAGCAGTTGTTCAACAGAATTCACGTGATTGAAATCTAAGCAAATCTTCGTACATTACTTTTAAGATTCTAAACTATAATCATATTCAATAATTACAAAATCATTTCATCGAAGACCCTGCAGATCGATCTAGAAAATTTTTCACTAGCGTCATCTTCAAAAATATTTCCTATATTAATTCTCTCAAAACTCATCAAAAACATATTCTTATATCAACAATAATTAATATTTACCTTGTCGATAAAAAACGATGTTTCAGGTAAACACCAATCATTGTTAAGAGTTATGCGTTAATTGAGTGCATATATATACACGTGTAAGTCAACACGTGCTAGTACTAGTTCGATCATTTTACTTCATATTCGAAAAAATGTCTCAAACAAATAACACACAAGGCTCACATGGAAATATTGCTGGTAAAGGAGGTCGTGCACGAGATGACCCTATTGGAACTGGTTAGTTTACTTAAAATATTATTATATATAGAGAGATAGATTGATTATTTTACAATATTTTTCTCTAGGTGGTAGTTCAGCTGATGGTCAATTGACTCATGAAGATCCATTACAAGGTCTCGCCAATGCTCAAACAGGTGTAACTACAAAAAGTACACTTGGTCATTCGAGCAATCAAACACCAGGTGCTGTTGCAAATCGAGGTCAAGTCAATCCAGATAATCAAGGTGGTGCTGCATCAGATAACACTAGTGGACAATAAGGTCATTCAGTGCATATTACTATACTATTGTTTGTAGTAAACAAGAAAAAATAAAATAAATCTATTCTAGCATTAAATCTATGTCTAGATGTCGATTCAATAAAAGATAATACAAAAATTTTATAAATATATCAACATTCATATAAAGAACCAAGGAATAAAGATGCGTTTTTGTAGATTATACTTTTCATCAAACTTATTTGTAATGTATTATACAGTATTGGTGGAGAAGTTTGACTCTTCTATATTCAGTTTGAAGAGCCACCAAACAAAAATCTTAGGAATCCATGAAACTATTTGTAATGATAGCTGAAATTCTTTCTCATGATCTTCATATAGAGTCATCATATAAATTCAACTTCTAAGACTTTCACTTTTTTCTAAAGACTCATTGCGAAGTTTTGAATTAATCATAGACATATTGTACTACAATATTGAATTTTAATACCTACAAAATTGTCAAATGTAAACTAGAAATAAATGTTATAGTTAATATGTTCAATACTACCTGAAAAGATCAAATTCAAATAAATTATGTACGAGAAAAACAAATGATATCATTCATTTTTAACTAACATACAAATACTGATTAGAAAAAAGAATTGACTGATTTAACCCTTAGAGTACCGGCCTATTTTATGCACTATATTGACAATGTATATTTTCAAAAAATATTTTTTTGTACTTTCGAGCACTCCTCTGATGAAATATGATATTTTGAGGGTGTGGGTGAGGGTGGGTGGGTAGGTGCAAGTATAAAGATAGTAAGACACTCACACCCATCCTTAATATATATGAAAACTTTTACGTGCTTTCCTTTCTCTTATATATTTGATGGATATTGACAACATGGTCTCGTATCGAGGAGTTGAATTGGTATGGAATGTAAATATGTTACCATTTATATGAAACTATATAAATCTACTCTTAAATACTACTAGTTGCTTCCAAAATATGAGAAAAAAAATATTCTCAACGTATTTTGAAAGTTTTCAGGTTGGGGTCAAAAATGACCCCGGCTGGTACTCCAAGGGTTCACATAGATGATGAACGTTGTATTCCATTGTAAAGAAAAATTAAGATATACAGTAATTCAGTTTCATGTATAGACTATTTCATGTCACATGATACTAGTAAAGATTACAATTTTTTTCTGGTGATATTCTAACATATTTATCTTCTCATTTATTAGAGATATAAAACAATATTTGTATGCCAGTCAAAGATAGATTAAATAAGGAATTGATAATGAAAAAACAGAATATTATTAATTACAAAATCAAATAATTAGAAATACAAACGAAAAAAAGAATTTTAATCATCATCTAATGTATTTAAATTTGAATTATCACTGTCCATATTTGATTCCTCCTGCTCTTCAAAAGCACGTTTATGTGATATGAATGATGATGATAAAATCGACGTAGAAGTCGTTGTTGTTGTTGATGATGATGATGCTGTTGCTGTTGTTGAATGAAGACGTATATGTTTATTGAGATTAGATGGATCACTAAATGGTCGAAAACAAACTCGACATTGTAATGGTTTATATCCTGTATGTGTACGAAGATGAATTTTTAAACCATATTTACGATTATAAACCTAGAACAAAATAAATTTATAGAACAAAAAAGTTAAATATAAATATATATATATATTTACTTTGCCACAGAAAAGACATAAATGTGCTTTACGTTGTCTTCCATCATTATCTAATGAAGTAAATTCTAGTGCATGTGTACCATCAAGTACACTCATTTTATAAGATGATACATCATTGGATGAAAATGGTAGTTGTTGTTGTGGTTGTTGTTGATCTTTTTCTTTAATTTCCTCGTCATTGTGTTTATCAATAATAATAGGATTATGACGAGGAGAAGGAGAAGAAGATCTTTTTATTGATGGAAATTCCATCAAACGTTTTTTTGTTGGAGATGTACGAACAAATAATCGTTCGTTAAAATTAATATTCATCGATGGTGTTGGATCATGACATTGATCAAGAAGAACATGAGCAACTAAAACATTTAAATAATTTTGTTCGATTTTACATCGAGGACATCGTGTAGCTAATTAAAAAAGAGAACAATATTTTATTTTTAACTAAGAAACAAAAAACAAAGAATTCAATCTTACATTTTAGTAGTTCTTCAACTTTAAATATTTTTGTTAATTTAATTTTTTCACATATTGTACGTAATTGTGGAAGACTAAACCAAGCAAGTAATGGTTCATCTGGAACAACTAAACGAGTAGTTCGAAAACCGAATAGATTGCTTTCTGTTGATTGAAATAATTCAATATTTTGTTCATCAGGAGTACGAGCACTTTTTATTGTTAATATCCATTCTTGAAAAAGTCCTGGTCCAATTAAATGTTGATTCCAACCATGAATCTATCGATATATATATAATCATTAGATTGATGTTCTTATTTCTCAAATATTTTTCTTACCGGAATTTTATTATAGTGTTGATTATGATCATAAAAATCCGTTAGAAGAAAATTATAAGGTAATTGATGAAGAAGATAAACTGTTGAACCTTCTTTTAATGTTGTACCAGCAACCGCTAAAGGTTTCATAGGTGTTGTTATTGGAATATTAACATTAACATTTGCATATTTGGCAATTGGTTTGACTATTTTAACATCCGACATTCTTTGTTAACAACTCAGCAGGAGAATATATATCGAATGAAATGATATATGGTATGACCAATTGTATATAGGTATGTGACAAGTATTGACAGGTGAAAGAACTGATTTTTTTTCTTTTTTCTTTCTCTTCTTCTCCTCTCTTCAAATTATATACCAATCGGTGACGAGAGAAATCAAATAAAAGAAGGAACGAAGTTACCATTGGGGAAAAAGGTATTTTGATGGTGTCAATCATCAAGTATGTATGCAGAGACACTATTTATTTAGTACAAAATTACTAATAAAATAATGAATAGAAAAGGACAAAAACGTACGGAAGTCATGAAACTGTTCTGCTTCTGTTTTACTACACCACTTAACTTGTTACCATAGAGATTCATTTATTGACGAGTCAAATTTCATTCAAGTAGAAGAAATATCTTCAATCATCATCTGTCTCTCCTCCTCCTCCCCCTTCTTCTTCTACTATTCTGTTGTTGTTTGATTGTTCTTGTCTAATGACCAAAGACAATTTAATTGGCATTGAACTCATTGTCGTTTATCGTTTTCACACCTCTCTAAACTCATAATTACCTTGTAAAGGAAGAAATAAGACATAAAATTCTATCATTCGATTCAATACACTAAAATGATAAGCTAAGCTGAAAATACGTTTAAGTAAAAAAAAAAGAGAAAGACCGCAATAAAACGACAGCCGATGTTTTTCTCATCATTGATTTAGATACTAATTATAACAGACACGTGTTGCTTGCTGTTCCGATATACGGATTTCTTTTTTTTTCTTCTTCTTTTAGTTTGACATCCAATCCAATGATGAGCATACACTTGGGTCTTCTTTCTATTGTTCATTCACCTCACTTGAACAAGCTTAGACGACAAACAAACAGCACGTGTGCGTTCTTTCTCTCTCTACTTAATATGTTCGATTAGCGCACTTTTTTTTTTTGAAATGTACAAAAAGTGTTTTCGTTACTTCTCTATTACCATATGTATGATCAGCGACTCTCTCTTTTTTTTCTCTTTCTCTCTCTCTCTTCTATAAGTGGGGATCAACATGGACAATTGTTTTGATCTTGTACTCATCTTGCTACTATTTATTGATAGATGAATGATGAAATTGACATAACAGATTAAATAAAGAATGTGTCCAACTGTTTTTATTAACATTCAAATCTTTTAATGATTGTTTTTTCAGTTCTAACGGTTGTTAAGATTGATTGAAAATCTTTTTTTTTCAATAGAAATAATATCAAATTTTCTTTATGCTCTATTGAATTTTAGAAATGTACACTTATCAAATTGACTTGAAATCAATGGATATCACATCTGAATATATATATACTGTTAGCACCTATTATAAAACATCGATTATGAATGTATATCATTTGAGATGAAAAAAAGTAAAGAAACTTTTACAATTCAAATTATTTATATACATAAAAAACATAGTCTTTCATAGAAGGTTCTTCTATGACAAATATTTAATTAACCTAGACTTTGATAAATAAGAGTAATACTATTATTTGTCTATTTTAGCAAATAATGTTGATTTTGACATATATATTCATTCCTATCACTTAATAAATATATTTCGTTTTCATGAATATAGATAGTTAACATACGGAAAGTATATATAAAAAAAATAAATACAATCGAAAAAAATCATTAATAAAGCTAGTTTTTAGAAATCGAAAGTAGTTTTTGTCTATAGCGCAAAAAAAATGTATATCTCGATATAAAATGAAAATCTTATGGATAACACGAGCCAGTTTGACATGCTTCACACAATAATGAATTATGTTGTGCTTGCATATTTCCTTTTCGTTGTAATAAACGTCGAACTGGTTGTGTACCATTATGTGTTATATCCCAATAAATAGATGAAACCGAATTTGGAAAAAAACATTCATAAATAGTCTTTGCTAAATTTTTCGTCACTCGACAAATTTCATCTAAAAAAAAAAAGGTTAAAAAATTTTTTTCTTTTTCTTCCAATTCATACCGAAATACCATAGTGGATGAACAGTTGAATAACAATATTGACATTGTTGCGTATAAAGTCTTAATAAGACAATACCGCCTTCATTTGGCTTCGATATATAGAATGAACATCGTGCACGCATTGATGTCCAACAATGTCCACACATATCACATTTAAATTGTGCTTTTGCATTATCTGACTGTATGATTGAATAATATGCATTTGATGTACGTGGACATATGAAACGTTCTTCATAAAGTATAAGACGATAGTCAACATTATATGTCATAGCTGTTGCCATAATTAATCGACCAAATTCACCATGCCAAGCCCAAATAGTATTTTCACAAAAATATTTTTTATCATCGTCACGTATGAGTGCTGCTCGTTGAGCTAAAAAACAAAATAAGAAATCAATTAATTCCTTTTTTTTATCGTATAAGAAAATACCATCATCAGTAATTGTTATTGGTGATGGATAAATTGGATCAATAGAATCGAAATCAAATTCATTCGAAAATAGACTCTCATTATCATCACTATCATCATAACTGATACCAGAATCATTTGATGTAAAACGAGAAATATTATCTGAGAGATTATTTTTGTTCATATTGTCATCAACGACATGAAATCGATCGTTTTTTGTTGAGATATAACTTGAAGAAAGTGGATATGTTTGAAATTGTTGCATTGCAAATGCAAAATCGTTCATACAATGGTATATGTATATGTGTATTGATGTATCAATATGCGAAGACGAATAGATGGAAATGATCTGTGTTAATGACGTAAACAACGAGATATATTTTTCTCTTTCGTTCTTTATTTCAAATTAATTAAGTCTCGTGTATCGAGTAGACGAAAATTTATTTGATAACAGTGCAAAAAGAAAACGTTAGAATTATTTTGAATTTAACCTAGTATGAAATAAAATATGCACTATAAACAAAGTTCAATTGAATACATATAGTAAAGAATAGAAATATATTTAAATAGAATTTCAGTTGTTAACGAAAATACTTTTTGTTTCATGATCAATCGTCAATTTTATATCGAAAATAATACATAGGAAAATTTTGACTGAGTTTTTCAAAAATCCATCGATTAAGATTAATATCCTACTTCATGGAGACTATTTGTTTCCTAAGTATAAATATAATCGAAACTATTGGCATTTTTTAGAGTACAGATGATATACATATTTTGTTATTAGATAGTCTTTATCCGTGTTCAATTTGCTACGATGTATTTGTTTTAATCAATTATTTTTGCAATTCAAGAAATGAAAATAATCTTACGGAAAATAAATATCAAGATCGAACTGATATCACTTGATTTACCTGAATGTGCATATTTGTTGATCTTTCATATTTCGAATTCTATTATATTAGTTATAGAACATATGTACGCATAGTCTTTGACTCATAAAAATAAAAAGAGAATAAAAACGAACAATCGATAATACATATAATAATTAAACATTTCTCTTTCTGTTTGATAGAAATAGTTTTAATATTTTTCTTCATTGTTCCAACAGAAATTTTTATTGAAATTTTTGTCATACTACTCAGTAATCATTTTGTCTGGAGATACAAATAATTGTAAATTTCCATCATTCTGTAGTAAGGACAAATATTTTAAGAACTATTTCTTACAGATTATTTTTTTAATTATCAACAATAACCATACTTTAACGTCCTTTTCGTTTATCGGTAACTGATAAATATCTCAGATGATACCTGTAACACCTTGAGACGTATATTTAATAAACATGAAAAAACCAAGTGAAATATTGATAACAGAGAAAAGAATGTAAATAATGATAAAAAGAACAATCTCGGAAGAAAATTCTTATACTATAAAATGACATATTATTCTCATTTATTCATAAACATTTCTTCTTGAAGTAGTCTACACGACAAAAAATGAAAAATGTCCTCCTGATTTGGGTGGACAGCAATATTAATAAAAATAATACTGATTGTAGTAATACAATCAAGCAATTTAAACGTGTGATTAACAACGTACACACATTTACAGATAGTGAAGAATGTGTTGAATTTGTTCAAACTATTACCAATAACAAAGTATGCATGGTTATTTCTGGTTCACTTGGGAAACATATCGTGCCTCATGTACATAATATGTCCCAAGTAGATACCATTTTTATTTTTTGTAACAACAAAGAATGGCATAAAGAATGGACCAAAGAATGGCTTAAAATAAAAGGAATCTTCACAGATATAACATCAATCTGTGAAACTCTCAAACAAGCTGCTCCCGAAGGTGACGAAAATGCCATTCCGATTAGTTTTGTGGCATCACACAAGAAATTGGATCAATTAGATCCATCATTTATGTATACTCAGATCTTGAAAGAGATCCTATTAACCATCGATTTCGAAGACAAACATTTCAAAGAATTTATTGCTTATTGTCGTGATAAATATAATGATGATGAAAATGAATTAAAAAATGTTCTTCAATTACAAAAAACATACAAGAACAAGATACCCATATGGTGGTATACATGGGATGCATTTTTATATCCTATGCTCAATCAGGCATTAAGATTAATGGATGCTGATATCATTATTCGAATGGGTTTCTTTATTAATGATCTACAACGTGATATTCAGCGACTCCATTCGAAACAATTTAATAATGATCAATTAGGTACAACATTTACAGTTTACCGTGGACAAGGTCTTTCGCAAAAAGATTTCACCGAAATGACAAATACTAAAGGTGGACTTCTTTCATTTGATAACTTTTTATCAACTAGTAAAAATCGTAGTGTATCTCTTAGTTTTGCCCAACAAGCTGCTACAAATCCTGATCTTGTTGGAATTCTATTTGTTATGTCAATTAATCCTGCTCATTCAACAACTCCATTTGCTTCTGTTAGTGATGTTAGTTATTTTCATAAGGAAGATGAAGTTCTCTTTTCTATGCATACCATTTTTCGTATTGGAGATATTAAACCACTGAATGGAAACAATCATCTTTATAAAGTGAATTTAGCATTGACCAGTGACAACGATCAAGAACTTCGTACTCTTACTGATCGTATTCGACAGGAAACTTTTCCAGATTCGAGAGGATGGTTCAGATTAGGATTACTGCTAATTAAAATGGGTCAGTTTAACAAGGCTCAAGAAGTTTACGAAGTTTTACTTGATCAGGCAACGCATGAAAGTGGCAAGGCACCTATTTATTATCAACTAGGTTTGATCAAATATAATCAAGGAGAATATCAAGAAGCACTTCCATTTCATGAAAAAGCTCTTACAATTCGACAACAACTACTTCCTTTCAATCATCCTGATTTAGGAGATTCGTATAATAGAATCGGTAGTGTATATTACAGCATGGGTGATTATCCAAAAGCGCTTTCATATTATGAAAAATCCCTTACAATTCGAAAACAATCATTTGCTTCCAATCATCCTGATTTGGGTGCTTCTTATAACAACATTGGTTTGGTGTACTACAAAATGGGTGATAATCCTAAAGCACTTTCATCTTATGAAAAAACCCTTGCAATTCAGCAACAATCACTTCCTGCCAATCATCCTGATTTGGGTGTGTCTTATGTCAACATCGGTGGTTTATATTATAGCATGAAGGATTATCCAAAAGCACTTTCTTATTATGAAATAGCTCTTGCACTCAAACAACAATCACTTCCTGCCAATCATCCTGATTTGGCTTTATCCTATGTGGGCATCGGTAATGTGTATTACAGCATGAGTGATTATTCAAAAGCACTTTTATCTTATGAAAACGCCCTTGTAATTCGACAGCACTCACTTTCTTCCAATCATCCTGATTTGGCTATATCTTATAACAATATCGGTAGTGTGTATTATAGCATGGGTGATTATTCAAAAGCACTTTCTTATTATGAGAAAGATCTTGTAATTCGACAAAAATCACTTACATCCAATCATCCTGATTTGGGTGCTTCCTATAGCCACATCGGTAGGGTGTATGAGAAATTGAACAAAAATTCAAAAGCTCATTCATTTTATGAACGTGCTGTACAAATTGGACAGCAATCATTATCAACAAATGATCCTAGACTTCAAAAATGGACAACAAACCTCGAACGCATGAAAAAAAACTTATAATTTCTTTCTGTAGTTTTTTTTGAAAGTAAAATAAAACTGATGATAAAGAGAATATGTCTATTGGAACTCTCTTCTTGTTGAGAACATAATATGAACAGTAATACTCACCTTAATACTTCAAAAAATGTCTGTTTCTTTTAAATAGTTACAGTGTGAAAATATCAATACGATTTAACTAATATTGAGGAAATTAATTTTAATTAGTAATTGAAATTAACAATCTGTTGGATCTTTCGACATTATGGAAACTATCAAAATTGTCGTAATAATAATAGTAAACGTAGAAATATATCTGAAGTTTGATTTAATCGGAAAAAATGTTTTTTTTAAAAATCACAAATTTATGTTGAAAAAAAGAAAACGAATCATTCTCATATAAATATCTATTTTCGAGTCATCGAAAAGCCTTCTTTTTCTAAATAATCCATTAAAATTGTACGTCCAAATGCTGCTCCTGGTGTCAATACTCCACCTCTATAACAAAAATTCAAAATAGAATCAATCATAAAAACGAACTAATTTCACTTACTTGACTGGTAAACGATCATTCTCTTTAAGTAACATAACTGCACAAGCTATTAACATTTTTGATGTACCAAGATACCCTGGATCGGGTCCTGTGAATTCATGAGTTAATTTTTGTTTGTTCTCTGTATGAGTTACAAATGTCATTTTAAATGAAGCTTGTTCACACTATAAAATTAATTAAAAAAAGACAAACAAATATTAGCTTTTTAATCTTTCGGATTTACCTCAGCTCGTGTTGGTCCTTCGTGTGTTACACATCCACCAGAAAATAGTCCTGGATACTAAACAAAAGATTAAAATAGACATAAGATAAGCTAATTTTTATGAATTACTTTAAGTAAACATTGAATACCAAGTTTAAATTTAGTCAATAAAGAGAAAATAGAAGCAAAAAAGAGAATTTGAATTACTGCAAATAATGAAGATATTTGAAGATAAGGTTGAAAACGAATCTAAAATGAAATTTCTTCGAATTATTTTTAATATTCATTTCATATATTGCTCACCGGTTTTTTATTTAATTGTGTATAATTAAAATATTGTGTACGTTGAACAACAGATTTATCGCTACCAGGAAAAGGTATTGCCCAAGTGGGTTCACCATTAAGTGCTGTTTTAAAAATTGGTCGTCTAAAATCGAAGAAAAATAAAGAAAAACAATACGCTTTAATTATATACCGGTCAATTTTATATTTTGAATATGGTAATTTTTGTTGAAATAATTGTTTACGAATGTTTTTTAATTCCTTTGCATGAGAAACTCCATAAACAGCTGATTCCCATGTTGCATAATGTATTAATCCACCCTTGAAAATAGGCGAAAATACATTTTTTTCTGATAAATTTATCAGTTTCTTATACTGTTGTTTTAGCATGTTTCATTGATAAAAAACTTTCAATAAATGCAATATCTATTAATCAAAATATATATCAAGTATTATTATTATTCATTGAAAACATTTGATTAATAATATACCAAGATTTTTCTGATCACATTCTTGTCGAATTGTTTCAACACCAAGATCAGCAACAAGAGAATCAAAACCACAACTACCAACTATAATAGTTTCACGTTCTGCAGCTTGACTATCATATTGAAGTTGTATTGTTTCAAGAAACTACAATAAAATAATACTATAAATCATTACTCTATCACTATTTTACTTGTGGTTCACCAGATATATCAATATAATGTGTACGTGCTTCAAGACAAGCTTGTACTACAGGTTCTCCATAATGTCGATACTACAAAAATTAGTTTTATCATGAATGAAAATCTTTTTTTTTCTCATTTACATACAGGTCCAACACAATTAATTAAAACTTTTGTGCGAGCACACATATCCACCAGCGATTGTTTATTTGTAACATTCGCAGTAATTGTATCAATAGTTGAATCTAGATTTTCAATACCTATAAAATATTAAAATTATTCGAATCACAGCGTTCTATAATTGCAATATTGGAGAGTATCAAACAATTCAATATGAGTCAAAATATATTCCATTGTAGCAATTTTTTCAAAAATACTTTTATAAGATATTTAAATCAGAAATCGGAAAAATGGTATCACTTCAATGTTTAGAACTGTATTTTCATCGAAATATGAATTATATTCAACACCTGTAAACTTTGAAGCTTGTTGAAGTACTTGTTTTAATTTATCAACTGTTCTTCCAGCAATACCCCATTTAAAACCATATTGTTTTCCTTTTCTTGCCATTTCTTCGATGACATACTGACCAGTATAACCACTGGCCCCAAATATAATAACATCAAGTCGATTTGACATTGATATCTATTTTCTATTACTAAATCTAGAGTAAAATATTGCTTTGTGACAATAGATTCTGTATGATAATCATGATGTTTTTATTTTATATGATTTATAATCAAGATGTCAAGACAAAAAAAGAAAACAGTTTTAATGTTTCACTCTTTAATCAGCTTGAATAGAAGTACTACTAAAAGTTTATATGTTATGGCTTGTTTTTGATCATTGTTCATTTAAAATCAATTAATTCAACATCAAAAAGTAATGTAGAATTGGCAGGAATCAATCCATTACCAACATCTCGGCTACCTATTTAAAAAAATTTTGAATTTATTTAATTTATACAAAACTAATGTATTACCATAAGCATAATCAGGTGGGCATGTAATTGTAGCACGTTCACCTTTTGACATTTGAGCTACACCTTGATCCCATCCCTAAACATGCATGATATTTTCTAATTAATTACCTTTTCGATTGTCTTACTTTAATAACTTCACTACAAAAGAAAAATGACTTATTATTATTATTAAACAATCATCTAAATATAATATTTACCCTTTTCCAAGTGTAAATTCAAATACTCTATTTTTATCACGAGATGAATCAAATTTTTTTCCATTAGTTAATGTACCTATATTAAACAATTCTCATCATTCGTACTCATCCTATCATTATCTCACCTGTATAATGAACACTAACACGTTGTCCTGCTTTTGGTTTTTGACCTATGATTTTACAACAATGAACTTAAAACAAGAAACAAATAATAATCACTAACCATTTCCTTCTGTAATTGTTTCAACTTTAAATCCTGATGACATGTTTGGTTTTTTTTCTTCGATAAAAAAAATCAAATATTCTACAAAAAAAAACGAAATTCGTCTATATCTTTTATTTATATATGTAATATACAGAGCACAGAAAGAAAGAAAAAAATAATAATAATAATAGCCAAGTATAGACGCTAAAAAAAGAAGAACCAGTAACAATAAACAGTCATGTCCGTTTGTTTTGTTAAGTAGTATGAAATATTTACACGAAGAAAAACGAAAGAGAAAAGAAACGTCGCATACAACAATGAAACAAATTTTAGCTTTAGGAGAAAGAACCGGTTTTTTTGCGAGATGGTTAATAATCCAGATTATAAATATTAACAGAGAGAGAGAGAGAGCTAAAAACAAATTATAGTTGATTTTTTTTTCTATGAAACACTTGTAATCGATTGTGTTGGACCGCGCATTGTCGAAAGAACAGTATCGAGCCATTTTAATGGACCTTCTAAATGAATTTCTACCCAACATGGTGTACATGTTACTGCTTGACGTCTAAGATTAAAATAGAGAATTTTTATATATTATTGAAGAGAGAAAAATAAATTTTACCTATATTCAACACCCCATCCTTTAACAAAACTCATTCGAATGATACACATTCTCATGAGATTATAAACTGCTTCATAACTTTCATGAACAGCTGCACTAAGTATTTGAGTAAAATCATCACTATCAAATATTTTCAGTCGAACTTCTGAAATAAAACGAAAATTATGAAAACAATTTTTAATCTAATAAAAAAATTTTTACTTGGTGGAATTTTACAAACAGTTGCTGGATGCCATGATAATCTTTGATTTGTTATTGGACTTTGTACAAAAACAGGATTATCTGATATACATTCAGCAAAAACATTTCCACGTATATGAAATAGTTTTACACCACGTCCAATATGACGTCGTGCTTTATCAATATCAAATGTTCGATGAACATTTGTTAAACCACCCAAACAAAAACGATCAGCATTTGATGGATCAGTAAAACCATCAATAATTATCTGTGGTTGTGTTGCATGAAATTGTTCACCTACACGTGTTGACATTTCATAATAAGATATAAGACACCATTCATGAGGTTCTTCAAATGGTACTTGTTCGCCATTAGTTACAGAATATTGAGAGGGATGAGATGACATTGTTGAAACTGGTTGTTGAGAAGGATACATTGAATTTGTTTCTGTTGATGCTTGTGGAGCACTATCAAAATCCATTGGAGTTCCATGAGAATTATGGTTATTATCATCATTAGTAATTGCACCAGGTGGTGAAAGAAGAGAATCTTAATTATGGAAAAAAAACAAAAATATAATAAACAGCGAATAGCTTTTGATGATATACAAAAACTCGAACTTTATTTATTCTTCTATAAGATATATGATTCTCAAATATAAACCACACACTACTACAGAAAATGTTCAGATTCTTCAATGAATCTAAAAAGATTTTCTTAATCTTAATCGATCGTTGTCTTCTGTTAACTACCATAACAGTTATCGAAACACTCATATTCCTTTTGTTTGAATTCCAATAATATATAAACAGAATTTACCTTGTGAACTAATACTTCCAGGTGATAATGGATATGATGGTGGTGATTGTTGTTGTTCAATAGTTGCTTGATATGTTGTATTTTCTGGTATCTGATTCGGCATAATATCATTACTCATTGAAGCTGAGCGTAAATCTGGCATATCAAGGAATGCTTCCGGTGGTAAATGTGGAACATAAACAGAATATTTAGCTAAATAAAAACAAAAATATCGATAGAATTGTTAAACAAGATATTTAACAAATTACCTGCTACACGTTCATAATGGAATGGATTAATGCAAATATCATCTCGAGAATAATGAAATGAATTTGGACAATAATCAACTGGTTTTAATTCATTTTGATTTGATAAATCTGGCCAACGCCATAGACGACAATATATAACAACAGGATTTGATTTTGATGATTGATTTGGAGGAGTATCAAGTGATCTATATGAAAATCTTATTATTAATTTTATTTTGAAATCAAAACATTTACCTTGGTATTGTGACACATTTTGTTCTTGAATCTTTATGTAAAATAGCTTTTTCAAGTTCTTCAATAGAACCATTCTTTTTTAATTTTGTTAATTTTTTTACTAAATTTCTTATGATTTTTTCTGTATGTTCATTTACATTCGATGATGGTGGTGTCATATCATTTGGTCTAACACATAAATCAACAAAACGTTGAACGATTGGTGATAATGAGCGTTTTTTTGTTATCGAATGTAAAAGTGATGTCAAAGGATTTCCAGATGGTGATGAATTATTATTCATCATTGTTGTTGTCGTTGTAGTTGGAGAAGCAATTGACATTGTTTCTTTAAATCTAGAAGAAATAGATCAGTTTTCTTGTCGTCTATATACATATTTTTATCTGTCTTCTTTTCTTTTTATAAAAAAAAACAAGTCTCGGACAAATATACAAAAAATGAGAAAACAAAAAATAACAATATATATACAAAATTGTCACCTTGATGTTGGATACCAATGTTTCATACCTTCAAAATCATATAAATTTTCATAAGCTAACAAAAATTCATTTGTACGCTGAAATTTATTTATTTTTAATTTACGTTTTCCATCTGATGGATTTATATGTAATTCTTTTTCCATTGTTAAAGTTAAAAATTGTTGCCATTGTTGTTGAACTGATTGCATTTCATTGAATAGAATTGAATCAAGTACTGAATCATCATCCAATAATTGAGTGTTTGAAGTTATAATTGGAGCTATTTTCTTTTTCTTCTTCTTTTTTATTGGTTCATCTTTTGGGCAAAGAAGTAAACCTTGAGATGGTATCGAAAGTGTTTCTTTATCAGTTGAATTTATTTGAGGTTTGTGATTTTCAGATGATAGTTTTTTCACCATTGGAATATCTAAAAATATATTATATAGAGTAGGAATTATTTTTAATAAACTGCGTAAAAAGTAAATCTACTTTAATGTGTCATTGTGCTCTCTAAATAATGAGAAATGGCTTAACTATTTTCTATATATAAATTTACATCGTTTGTTTATTAATCATACGCATAACTAAATAAATCTTTCCTTTTCACAGAAACGAGCAAAATAGTCTATATGTACCCAGTTTGATTTATAATGAGTTCAAGGACAAGGAGCACGTTTTTTTCTATGTAAACTTCGAAGTAGCATTAATAATACTAACTTTTTATTATTGTCGTGAGAGATTGTTTTTGTAATCGTTCGTTTGAACTCGATCGTTGTTTAATCGGTAATGATTTTTGTTTATTTTTTTGTTCATCATTAACTATAAATTTCGCTTTTTGACGATTGAGTTCTTCATCGAGTAAATTTTTCTCACATCTTGTGTTTTCACCTAAATTTACTAGAGAAATAAAACGTTTGGTCTCTTTTAAAAAAATATATAACATACTGGATATAGATTTTGAAACAACTTCAGTTTGTGATTGCTGTTTTGTTATTAATGTCGGGGATTGACATAGTTTTTTATTCGAAATTGAATTTTGATCAGATTTTCGTTTTTGATTATTTTCCTGACTAAAATCAAAATGAATATTTTGTTTTAAAAAATAAATTTCTCTTACTTTGTTGTTTCATTAACGTCAGATATTTTGAGATTTTTATCGATTGATGTATCATCTGACGAGAACAATTTTTGTCGAATTGGTAATGAATCTTGTTCATTTTGTCGTCTTAAATATGATTTATATAAATTATTTGTTTTCGAATTAGGTGAGGGTGATTCGAGAGATGATGAAGATGACAATCGATGATCAACGTCAGATGAGAATGTTGGAGAGATTTCAAGTGACTAAACAAAACTTGAAATTATGATTATTTTGTTTTTTCGTTTCTAATAATTACTTGTATTCGTTCATCAACATCAGCTGTCGATGATGTTATTCTTAAATCTTGATCGAGTTCAATTTTTTTCTTATCATACAATCCAATACCAGGTTGATAAACAAATGATAATTGTTTTTTATCAGTATTTGCTGTTGAATGTGGCATTAAAGAATTTGACTGTGTGACATCAGTCGCTGGTATTGAAGGTGGATCACACCACATTAAATAATCATATCTAGAAAGAACGAAACAAATATCGATTATTTTTTTTTTTTTTCTTATTTTCTATTTCAAACGAATAAAGATGTTAACAATTCGTTTAAAATTTCTTTTCCATCAACATAAAACAAAACAAAAAAGAAACAATTGATGATAAAATAGTTGCTGTTTTTTGTATTGTTGAAGAAGATTAATAGTTGATGACTTGATTTTTCTTCTTTTTTTCTGCACCTAATTCGAAATGTTTGGTACGTTTGATGGCAATTTGTTTTTTGAATTTACATTCAGTACATTCCATACGTAAAACAATTTTCTTTGTTGTTTTAGCTTTTTTATGAAACACGGGTTTTTTTTGTCCACCATAACCTTTTTGTTTCATATCGTAACGACGTTTACCTTGAGCATGAACACTATCTTTGCCTTTTTTGTATTGCGATACTTTATGTAAAGTATGTTTTTTACAATTTTTTCCTTTACAAAATGTACGACGTGTTTTTGGTACATTAACCATTTTGTGTTCTTTTTTTGATGGATAAGAAATATATAAGATCTAGAAAGGAATATTATTTGAATAATGTTAGTGTTTTGTTTTTGTTTTGATTTCTATATACAAAATGTTAACGATAAATAAATGAATGAAATAAACAAATACAACACTAAAAACGCACGACACATACAAATATTAAATGTCAAAATATCTGACACAAGAATTTTCTTTTTCACTCTATTCTATGATTTCTTTATTTACTGGACATTGTACCAGGTGCTGGTAATTGTTGAAGAACATTGTCAAGCCACTGCATTGGACCATTAAGATGAATTTCTACCCAACATGGGGTACTCATAATTGTACGTCGACTAAGAAAATTATTTATTGAAAATTATTATTTAAAGGGAAAGAAGAAAAGATTTACCGATATTCTTCACCCCAACCTTTAACAAAACTCATACGAATAGCACATATTCGTGTAAGATTATAAACAGCTTCATAACCATATTGAATTGTTTCACTTAACATTTGAGCGAATTCTGTATTACTAAAGATTTTTAAATTGCAACCTTAAAGATAAAAAATATTATTAGAAAAAATTCGATGTATCTCCTTGGAATTTGTTGAACTCAAGCAAATTTTTTTCTCAATGAAGCAACAAGGACGATCGATCTCATTTCATTATGGAAAACTTGAACAGTATTTAAAAATACATACGTGGTGGAATTTTACAAACAGTTGCAGGATGCCATTGAAAACGTTGATTACAACTTGGACTTTGTACAAATATTGGTGTGTCTGATAAACATTCTGCAAAAACTTCACCACCGATATAATAGAGTCGAACACCACTACCAATCATACGTCGACATGCTTCACTTTCAGTAGTACGATTTACATTTGTTAATGATCCAAGACAGAAACGATCTGATGCATTTGGATCACAAAAACCATCAATAACAAGTGAATTAAGTGATGCATGAAATATTTCACCAACACGTTGATTTAATTCATAGTAAAGTATTGAACACCAAAATGGTGTTTCAGCATAAGCAATAGGTGCTGTTTGAATACCATTAAAATTTGTTGCTGCCACTTGCTGCTGTTGTTGTTGTTGTTGATTAATTGATGCTTGTGTTGGTGTCATAGCTTCATAATTGTCTTGTACACTTGCTGGACTATTTACAGCGGTACGTTGTTGATCAGCTGGTGACGTAGCAACTAGAGTAAAAAAACATCTTTTAGTAAAATCAAACTTCGCCTATTTGCAATTACTTACAATCCATAGGAACAGTTGAATCGGGTTGTATTTGCATACGTTCACTGGTTGTTGAATCAAATACAGCACGATCAGAAACAGGAACATAAACTGGTGGAATAACTGTATATAGAAAAAAAATAATTCATTTTAATATAAACTTCAAAAAATTCTTTTTACATGGTGCAACAACTCGTTCATAATGATAAGGGTTCACACATATTTGATCTTTTTCATGCTGAAATGCATTTACACATGTCTCATTTGGTCGTAATTCTAAATGAGTATTTAAATCAGGCCAACGCCATATACGACAAAAAGCAACAACAGGTGTAATATCATGAAATGCTTTTCGAACTGTTTGAGATGGATTTGGTTCTATTAATTTTTTTTGTGCATCTCTAAATCATATAATGGAATAAAATTTCAAATAGACAAATTGAATTTTACCTTGGTATAGTAACACAACGTGTTTGTGAACTTTGCGTATCTAATGCTGTTTGTAAATCATCAATCATTGATGCTTTCGTTAAACGTTTAATTAAACCTTTAATTGCTTTTTCTGACCATTTATCATCACCTGAATTTGGTTGAATATTTTTTCTATGTTGTAATAAATTCTTTAATGTTTGAGGATTTATTGAAAACGCAAATGGTAAATTAAATAAATTGCTCATAATTGGATCTATCAAATCAACGATGGAATATTATTTAAAAAAAACAAAAAACAATCGAAAGAGAGAGAAGATTGTCGGCATATTGAAATGATGTATTGTATTGACCTCTACGAATTTGTCCATGAGGTCAATATAAATATAGATTTTTTTTCGGAAGTCAATCATAAAATATTCTCAAGAAATATTGTTTAAATTTAGAAAAACATGGTTTTTTAAAAAAGTTCGATTTTTATATTTTATTTATTTAGTAGATGGCAGGTTAAATATAACATCGATAGGAAGGATTGAATAATTGATTATGATTGGAAAGAAAAATTGACCAATTAAATTCATGATTACATTAAAATTTCTGGAGAGATATTTTGAAGAAAAACAATTGATTAATAACCGTCAAACTATGTTTTACTTATTTGTTTACATATGTCCTTGATTAAACTGTAATTTTTTTATATTCCAATGAATTTGTTTACTTTCGTATTCGTTTTTCGAACTTCAAAACCTGTATAGGTATGAATTTTTTAAATAAATAACTTTCTCCTTGATGATTATATTTATTTCCCAATCAATTTTACCTTATATATTAGACATATATTCCTATTTAATAATAGTTATGTAAGGATAAATCGATTTTCACAGGAAATTATTCTCACTTTTCGAATAGAATGTGTCTTACGATTGAATAAAGAAGAAAGTGATTTTAATCGTTTGTCATAACAAACTTCAGAAAGTAGCGAGGCGTTTCATAGACACGTGTTAATAAGAAAAGAGAGTGTCGTACTCTTGTTAATTCTTTGTTTTTTTATATTGATTACGAGAATCTTTCTAATATTTATTATAAAAACGATATCATAGATTTCTCGTATTCATTAAATAAATTCTAATCGTTAGTGTCTGAAAATGATTATCTGAAAACTAGCTCATTTCTAAAGAATTAATTAAGAACAAAATGTTACAAATAAACTTTTAAGAGTTTTATTTCGATACATCAAGTGTTATAGCACCTAAGATAAGGATTGAAAATAAATAGCTAATTATTCTTGCATAACTGTTACGGAAAATTAAACCTGAATTATGCACATAACGTGCAATGACAAAAATACACCCATAAACAAGCTGGCGTGTTATTGTAACATTGACAGAAAAGAATATAAGTGACATATTTTGTTTCGTTTCTTAATACGACTGCTAGACGATTCGATATACTCCAATCATTATTTGCACTTGTATGAATAGGTCGTTGAGTATCCTCAGATGTTGTTTGATCAGTTATTCGACGTTGGTGTACAAATATTGTTGCATCTTCTGGAATGCGTACTTGTTTATCTTTGATACGTAAAATTGTTGATAATGTTAGAAAAATAATATTTTTTCATATAAGTAAAACAGACGTCCAAGCGAATACCTATATTGTAATCGAATGGTATATCAGCCATTTGAAATTTCATATGAAGAAAAGTGTGTGTAACGAAGATTTTCATATCTTAAGTAAGCATATGCTTAAATGAAGAGTAACTATAAGAATTTATCTTTCAGATGTTGATTGTGTGCATAAAATATGTTCAAACTTGAATCATATATAACACCATGGCTTTTATCTTATATTGATCAATATGTAAAATTAAGACGTGAAGATTTTCAATTATCTTTATGGGGTGGTGATGTTGTTTTTTATAATCTTGAATTACGTTTAGCTACTATACAAAAATTAGTTCCAACACTTCCGATTGTCTTTCAAAGTGGAATTATCCATGAGTTACGTATTCATGTATGTATATAAATTATTTCCAAAAACGAAATCGACTTCTCTTCTATTTAGATTCCATGGATTCGAATTAATTCGGAACCAATTGTTGTAACAATAAATCAAATTGAACTTGTTATTGTTTTAAATAAAGAATGTACATCAACAAATGATTCTCCATCATCATCATCATCAATTCAAAATGATTCGAATTCTGATCATATACTTATTCAACAACAACAACCAGCAACACCTGAACAATCAAATTATGTTCAAACTGTACTTGCACGTATACTTAATAATGTTCAAATTGTTGTTAATAATTTAATAATAAAATTTATTGAAGAAGATATTGTTATATCATTATCATCACGTACAGCTCAATGTTATGCTGCTAATCAAGATTGGTTAAAATCATTTATTGAATTAACACAACAAGATATATCATTGAGACGTTTAATAACATTACCGGATTTAACGTTATGTGTGGATAAACGTGATTCAGATGGAAAAGTTCATCGTTATGAAGTTCCATTATTATCACGTTGTTCATTTGAATGTCGAATACAAATGTTTTATTCAAGTGTCTATCAACAATTAAATACAAAACCAATTCAAACACGTTTAAGTTTTAATTGTGCAAATATTGAAGTAACAGTTGTTGATAATCAATTACAAATGATTATACGTATAATAGAAAGTATTATGGCACTTATACATCAACAATTACATCCAAATGGAAATGAACCTTCAAAAGAACAAAAAAA